CCGAATATCTTCTCTAAGCGGGTTTACAGACTTTTGCACGATTAACAGCGGTTTTAGCGGCTTTAACTCACGGATATTCGTAACTTCGAGATTAGAATTTACCAAGTCAAAAATTTGAACATAGCGCTCAAGGTCGTTCAGTTCAGTCAGTTCAGGTCAGTTCAGGTTGCATAGGACTGAATATGGCCACAGCCAATCGGGCATCCAGAATGCCGTTGACCCACGAGCTGCTCGCTTGTTTTGGCTCTTCTGACCGTCTTAGCGCCTCGTTTTTGACCAGGCTCTGGTGGGGGCTCGCCCTTGGAGCTCACACTTGGCAACGGGATTCAGTAGTCCCTCCCGGAACCGCTATAGAGCAAAATCCCGTTGGACTTCCTTGGATTTCTCAGGAAACCCTCGACTGACCATTATTCTTAATTCATTCGCGTATTGTTCCGCCGACTCCCCTGGTCTTTGGTCTCTTCGCCAGTATTGATGTCGGAGGGAGGGATGGTTGACCTGATCTGGGAACAATTCCCACAAGCTGTTCCATATGGACTTAGGGGGGAAGGGAATCCTCGTCCATGTTCTCGTTGATCAGTAATTCTTGTACCTGATCACTTAACCGATCCAGGATACACAGACTGTGTTCTTCTGTCGGCACTCGACGCAGGGATCTTTGCATCTTCGTCTGCCATAGTATCAGATTGGTTCCAGCTTCAAATCGCGGTGGCGGCTCCAACTGTATTGCCGGCGCAGCTGTGAATGTGACTTGCGGTAGGCGCGTCCTGACAGTCGGCGGGCTGGCACTTTCGTCGTCGCTGTAATCTCCGGAATCTTTCCTCGGAGATCCCATCCCCGTCGCGAAATTTGTAACAGACAGACGCAGGTTTGGGCACACAGCCGATTGTGATCTAAAAGGGATCGTTAGGCAGACATCAGCAAAATATCCTGGCGCACACACAAGAACAGTCAGACGAGAATGGTACCGATCAACCAGAAGGGCGAAGACGTAGACCGGAGCACACCGTGTATTGGGGAAAAGTCAACCACTACTCGATCTCTGTATAGGGGGAGGGGGCTACAATCGAGGGGCTAAGGGCAACTGTCCGGGAGGTCGTCGGGGGTTGAATGGGTTTGGTTAGGGAGCATAACTTGAGTAGCATTCACGTCTGGAAGGGAAACAGAATGGCGAATGACAATTAATGAAAGGATGACATGAATACATAATGAACCGGCCTAAACGAGATTGTTGCCCCTTACACAAGGTCGCTACAAAACGACACACGCCTGGCGTAGGGAAGTTTCGGGTTCAGTTCAGTTCATGTCAGGTCAGGTTGCATAGTGCTGAATATGGCCACAGCCATTCGAGCGTCAAGAATGCCTCCGATGGTATGCTCACTGAGTGGGCACCCAGCACTGCTGAAATAAAAATGAGAAATAAAATTTCATCTCACCAAGTTGGCGAGTGAATTATTAGACGTAAGCATTTCATGCGTCTACCAATAAAAAGGGAAAAGGCATCCTAAGCATTTGGCACACCTACACTCGTCAACACTGCCACTGATTATAATAGTTCCACCCATCGCTTATCGAGTGCAGTCTTAAATGCTT